TGTGAATGTAGTGTGGTGCATGGTACATTCAAAACATATTGCATGCACATCTCGTGTGTCAGCATCTAATACGTGTCTTAATACAATATTTATTTCAAATTGTTGAGCAAGTAACAAAGGCATTCATAAATAAAATGTTGCATAGTACTAGGACAGATTATAGGAGAAATACAATAACAGTCATTATTTAAAACAGACAAATATGCAAAAAAGTGATAGCTAAGTTAGTGAACTGGAGTTAAACCAATATTTTTAGAAACTCGACAACAATATTTCACACTTGAATCCAGGAAATGGCTCATTGAAGTAGAAACAATACAGTACCGCTGAGACGCATGTAAACAATCTCACATTTCAGAGGATAAGACGGCAAAAATGCAAGTTCGTCATAGACTGCTCAAGTGCAAAATTACACCTCGAGCGGAATAAAATATTTTCATATTGAGATGTTATAACTTTCGCTTGTAAGTTCCTATAATCTTTAGATGGCACTTTTGAAGGAATGAGTGCAGATCGATAATTTGTGTTCCATTCAGAATCCTAACTTTATCGACTACTGTCGAACAAATCTTTGTTCTACTACTTATTCAAACATATCCATTCTACCACCCAATGAAATAATAGATTATTCTTTGGATCTGACCAGCTTTTCATTCGTTCCCAGCAATAATGATTTACTTCCAGTTGTTAGGAAAGTTGGGAACACAGTTGTTACTTTATTCTTGTGAAAACCACGGATTAAGATATCAGTACAAATGTAGTCAAAAGAATCGCAAGCTTCATTTTGATACACATGCGGCAAATATGTATCAAACTGAATCAAATCTGGAAGATAAAAATACCGCTTCAGTTCAGAACTCAAAGCGAGGCTGCGTTGATTAGAAAATTGATATATTCTTACCAAACATTCAGAAACACATCTTACAAAAAACTGCAAAAATAAATTTTATTCGAAGTTTTCCATTCTCACATAAAAACTGAATCTCATTTATGCTGATTTAAACGCATGAAGGATTTGCAAGGAACAGGCTATTAGCGAAAAACAAAACGCATAATCCATTCAATTACGTTAAATGCTATACAATATTCGCACTGACAAAACGTTTCAATGTGAGTTCTTTCTTCGATGAATGGCAAGTCCTCGCAAACTGTAAATTTATCCCAACAAGCACGCTGATATGATTTGAATTCGCAGCGCTTAATGTAATTCAAATTTTCAGATATTCAATGCACTTTTAACTACACCATTATCGTATGTTTTTTATCCCGTATGCGTACGTTTGTGCTTCTTCAAAATTGCGTCTTGTGTGAAACTTTTCTTACCAAGTATTGCACACGTACACGGTTTTCCTTTGATATGTATGCGCTTCCAAATGTTGGGTAAGAATATACCAAGGGTCTGTTTAATCAACCAGAACTTGTGTATCATTTCTCACATACATCACATATGTATGGTTTTTCAATAATATTTGTGCAGAAGGGCCGAGTTAATGTACCCTTGGTCGTGAAATTCTTCAAGCAAGTTTCACCTTGAAACTGCTTTTCTTCAGGAAGCACACTTGCTTTGCACTTGGAATTCAACTTACTTGGTTTCTTCTGGGAACCATTACA